AGAATGGACAGCATCGGGAAGAGGCAGTATCAGGTTCAGCACGGCTCCTGCAGCTACACGTTCCTCCTGCCGGAGATGGACAACTGCCGCTCGCCCTCCAGCGCCTACGTGCCCAACGCCGTGCAGCGGGATGCGCCGCTCGACTACGACGACTCCGTGCAGAGGCTCCAGCTGCTGGAGAACATCATGGAGAACAACACCCAGTGGCTCATGAAGGTAGGGAGCCACCACTCCCTCGTGCACGGCTCCGACCGGCTCGGGCTGAACCACCAGCCTGGCGGGGCGGGAAGGGGGCCGATGAGCGCGGGAGAGAGCTGGCGGCTGACGCCTCTGAATGAGCTGAATGAGCAAGTGCTGTAGTCTGTCCTGCCGCGTAAAGTGGTCGGGGGTGAAAAGTGACAAGGATTACTGGAAGGGAGTGTCAGGATCAATGGAGGGAAGTCTCTGAAGTCAGGAATCCTTATGCACGGAGGAAGCGCACTTCTCTGCACAACGTGTAGGCTGTTTTGTTTGTGCAAGTACTTTCAACTCGGTGATATCCTTTACCAGGGACGTTATAGAACCGGTTGCAGGCACGGGAGGGAAGCTGTGAGCAAGGGCAGAGACGGAGCCAGGAAAAACGTGACAATCACGTTAGTTACTGATCCATAACGGATGGAGTGAAGTGCTTTACCAATTTCCTGAATTTATTTACTAAAATAGGTTGGGGTTCTTGGTAAACAAGAGGAAATTAAATAAAGCAGACCTTCCATCTCTCAGAACCTGAGGGGCTTTATCCCGAGGGTTTGTCATTTGTCGGTAGGGGTGGGTTTTCCAAGCGTCCGAGGGGATTGGGCGCTGCGGCCCCTTCAGTTCCACCACGGGCTTTGAAGGTGACCCCTCGTGGGGCAGGCGTGCAGGGCATTTTGCTGCAGTTACACCGTGACAAGGTGGTCGTGTTGTTCGCGGGGTTACGACGGTCCCACTGTTTCAGGCTTTTTATAGAGAGTTTCACTCAAATAGGACACTGCAAGCTCAGTTTTTCTTTTACAAGCCATCGTTTTCACATGTAAAGCTATTTATACAAACCCCCAAATCACCCTGGAATTTTGCTTGATGTGGACTCTATATGTTCTGCAGGAGGTTTAGACAAATTGCGATAAATAGATTAATCATTAACTATTACAATGACATCACATCACATCGCTTGCACAGCAGAGAACGTGACAGTTTAAAGCCATATGGGAACTTTAACAACAAGCTGATTCCCCTCATTCAAAACATTGCCCCTGTCTTTCATTTCACCATAAACCTTCTGTCAGGACACCTTATCTTAATCTCAGAATAGATCTTGGCTCCGAATCTGTGTTTCTCATTAGCTCTCCTACCTTCAGAGAGGAAATGACCAAGTTATTACTCTGGTCTCGAGCTGAGATGAATGAAAGCCCTCGGCACTGCATTCAGTATAACAAGAGGGGTCGCTTCAAATCAAAGAACAGAAAACAACAAACACGCATCAAAAAGACTCGCCCTGTAATATGAAACTCATCAGTCGTATCTATAAGCACTATCCCTTCTGAGCAAATTCTCCAGTAATTTTCTTTCTTTTCCTAAGAAGTCCCCTGTGGTGCTTTTAAAAATCTCCTAAAATTCAAAGATGTGCAAATAATATTGTTAAACTTAAAAAGTATGCAGCAACACAGGTTCGAATATTTGGAAGACAAACTGTATCCTCAACAGCTGCTCACTCTGACTTCCCATTTCTCCCTGAGTTGTCATGCCCCCCACGGCACGGTTAATGCCAGGGCTGACGGCCACGGTGAGAGATGAAAGACACGTCATTCGTAGTAAACATTCTAATCTGCCCGACTGGTAAGTCGTCTCGTAAAATAAACAGTCGAGGAACACAGAAGAATGTTTTGCCAAATCAAGACCGCTAAATTGTATTTGCTTAATGAAGCCCACATTAGGTATACCTGAGACTCCATATACAGAGCTCGTATTTCTTTCCTAGATAAATAACCCCCTTCTTTTCGATCTCTGAGGCGCTGTTTAAAGAAGGAAAAGGACAAGGAATTCTACATGAGGTGACCAACATTTTTTCCTTTCCAGGTTCAATCAGTAAATATTTGAACACTAGCGCAATGGTATTTCTAGATTCTTTCTTATATTTGAACAGTAGCGCGATGGTCTTTCTAGATTCTTTCTTTAGCCGCATCCCAGCTAAATATCTCCAAGAATGACTTCACGTTTATCTTTTCCCGGGCTTAGCACCTGTCCTGTGGGCCTCTTGGGTAACGTGCACCTGAGAAAGTCAGTTTGTGCTCTCACTTGGTTTACTGGCTTCTGGTTTGGGAATGAAAGCAAAAAAAGCAAACATGAAACCCACCTAAAGTGATTGAATGCAACCTCTCTGCTTGTTTTTTATTCCTGTGTTTTGTCACCTGTGATAATAAACACTGCTTTCCTCATAAGGGAGAAGATAATATATAATGGGATGATAGATAAGCCACAATGATCAACATCACAATCAAACCCCTATTGATAGATTATGACAGAAAGAAAAAGCACCATTCTGTGTTTTGCATATTTCCTTTTCTTTAGGGCTGCTTTTATGATTCCGTATTTCCTTTCTCTCCCTGATCAACACTAAAAATGAGAGGGAAAAAAAAAAACACAAAACACTTTTAAGGTTTTAAGAAAACTTGTCAAGAAGGAAAATAAGACCAAGTTTCTGGTTAACCTCAGGGTAGATGAATAGCATTTCAGCGTCTCAGTGGTTAGCATCCGTCAGGAGCCTGGACTAAGAAAGCTGTTTCGCACATCATCAAAAGATGCCACTCTGCCCCTTTAGTCTGCCAGGCAGAGGAAGTGTCAGAATTTTGAATGAGCGCAGAGGGACATGAATGGAGCAATACAGGGAAGGCTCACTTTCTGGTTAGCGGTTAAACAAGGACAAGATAAATCGTGATAGTTAGGACACCAAATACACCACAGTGACCTAAAAAACACTATATGTCACATTCCCTTGCCAATCCTGCAACTATTCCAAACCTCTGCCCCCGTGACAGTAAACACACTTTATTAAAACTGACAAATAACTTAGCAAAATGGATTGTATCTTGCTAGGAGACCAGATTTTTTTTTTCCCCCCGATCAGAAGAAACAGGGAAAGGAAATAAACAGTTATTTCACACTGATGAATACTTTAAAGTTATCAACAACTGCAAAGTCTATTGTGCTTTGAAACAGTGCTTTGAAAAATAAAGCTAATGCCTGTTAAGTGGATGTAAACATTTCCTCGTAATCCTACTTTTTTTTTTTTTTTTTTAACAACAGAAGCACAGGCTGGGAGCTGTAAACCTGAATTGAGATCCTTTTCTTTCTTTAAAATTAATAATACTATATCCTTTTAATAAAGTAGGAGACGTATTCATCAGCTGATGTATAGGGAAAAATCCAGTTTTGCTCCTAAAAACAAAACTGTTGTCAATGGGAAAAACTGATGGTGAGGAGCTCAGATGAACTCAGACCGTCAGCCCCTTCCCTACCCCTGCCAGGGACCGATTGTGTGTGTGTGTGTGTGTGTGTGTGTGTGTGTGTGTGTGTGTGTGTGTGTGTGTGTGTGTGTGTGTG